CCCCAAAACCCCAAAACCCCAAAACCCCAAAACCCCTATATCTGAAATAATAAATGCAAGTGAGTATGATAAAATATTTATTCTTTTCAAACAATTTAAAATGAAAGAACTGAATATCAACTTAACGCTTGTGAAGCGGAAATGCTTTAACAAAATTGGAATGACATTTTTTGCAGTTCTCATTCTTTTTTAATTAATAGGTAATAACCTATATTTTCAATCATAATAGGATGCCAGAACTCTATAAATTTGATTCTAGACAGACAAGGTGTGAATTAAGATGCAATAATGACTTTTCAGATTGATACTGGAAGAAATATACAAACATCTGATTGCATCAAATTTGATATCTAGAATCCATACACAACTAATCCAGGCTATTACGTGCCTTTTTCATCAACTAGCTGTTCGGTATTTTTATTCAGTATTTTTAATAAAATTGCTTTAGTCTTCTTCAGGACACAATGTTGAATGTAGTGTAGTCAGTTCAACACAACTAAAGATGAGATTTACTTCATCATCAACTTCTTAAACTGTCATAGGAGACATATCATCCATAAAAAATCCATACTCAAAAGTTACTCTAACAGTCACTGTAGGATATTATGTGGGATGTGATTCGGCTATTGCACCTGAAAACCCATAGTCACAGTAGTTTATCACATTTACCTCAGGAACAATAAATACTATCTCAATGTCGTCTAATTCAGATGTGATTGGTAAATAAAATTGCATCCTGACTTTAAGATTCTCACCGGTCACTATACTCAAACCGAGTGGAAGAATAGAATTCTTTGTTCCGTTCTGGTATACCACTTCAAATTCTAACTCTAATGTGTTCTATGTGCTTGATAGGACTTCAGTGGTTGCATCTTCAACCTCTGGATTTACAGTTTCTAACTCTGCATTTTCAGCTTCTTCTGGAATTTACTCATTTAATTTTGCGACATCTGGTTCAGACATTGCAGGTGGAACATAAATAACACTAACTTTTACAAATTTCAGGAATCCCATTACAAGTTCCTCATTAGCAGGATTTCACTTATTCACTCTGGATGTTGATGGCAATATCATTGATCAGACAGTTACTAGTTAAACTTTCCCAGGTGTTTCTACTCCAGCATCAATTTCATCTACATCAGCAGCATTACTAATAACAACATCATCTGCAACAAGTTATAATGTAGCATCAACTGGTAGAACAGTTTAATTAGGTTTTACAGTAAATACTCCATTAGAAAGGACATGCTATGTTAAAATAGCATTCCCAAGTCAGATAAAAATAGACATCGATGAGTCAATGACTGGTTTTAAAGGTTCAGGATTCATGACAGGAGATGGTTCATTCTCTACAGGCACTTCTACTAAGTCTGCCTACGGTACTGGAAGTAATACAGTTATTATAGCTTCTTGCACTGATCAAAATTAGCTTGGAAAAAGTGCATAAGAAGGAACGATATAGTTATTCAGAGTGGTATCTCCAACATCAGTTGGCTCAGTTAGCATTTTTACTATTTCAGTTGCAAAAGACATTACTTTCAGTAATGTGATTGCCACAGGAACAATTACACCTAGCTTTACTATGCTAGCTAATAGTGTATCAATTAGTTCTTCTGGTTCATTTTCAGCATCCTCTAGGATTGTCTAAGTTGCTTCGCAATACACTTTTACATTTACACCAACCTCAAATTTGTTTAGTGATTCATTCTTTGAGATAACATTACCAGATGGAATGGAGGTTTCAGGAACATCAATTTGCTCTGTAATCTCTACTGTAAATATATTGAGTACAGCAACTTGCACTTTTAGTGGCACCACTATGAAAGTAGTCAATATGATATCAGACACAAGTACTTTTGGCTGGGACTACTCAGTGAGTAGTGCTATTTCAATCACTATAAGTGGCCCTTCAAACCCTTACTCTGCCACTACTTTTGGCTCTTGGAGTGTTAAGACCTATAACTTAGTATCTGGAATACAGAGACTTGTAGATTAGTCATCTAGTGTCTCAACTAATACATTAGCAATCGAGACTACTCTAAAATCTGTTGTTTAGACAGTAGAAACCTCGAGTGCCATAACATATTAGGAGTCTACAATGACATTTGAATTCGTACTCTCTAAAAACCTGAGATCTGGATCTAAAATTAAGATTATACCCCCAACTGATGTTAAAATTTCATCAAGCAGCCCCACTTGCAAGACCTTTACCTCAGCTTAAGGAACATAATCAGCCAGTTCTTGTACAAAATCAACTAGTAGCTCGATAGCAGCTGATAACAATATTTTGTTCACACTAGGCTCTTCAAATCTTGGTACTGCTGACAATACTTACAAATTAATAGTCACAGGTTTTAGAAATCCCAGATCTACGAAACAATCTCAATCATTTACAATTATTACATTTGATAGCACTGGTTCAAACATGATTGAAATTGGTACGAACTTCTTTGTAAAAGCTACAACTGCTGGTACCACTCCGACCCTATCTCTTTCTTTAACAAACTACACTAATGGAAATAAAACCAATACTGTAGGATCAGTTAACTACTAAAACACCTACACGTTGAAATTTTCATCAAGCGCTGTGAGTCCATTTGTGCCGATAGAAGCAGGCGATTAGATTGTGATTGAGTTTCCAAGTGAGATATAGCTTGGCACTCCATTAACTTGCTCCTCTTCTTAATCATGCTCATCTTCTGGGCAGAAACTCACTATCGTGGCCAACCCTTCTACTTCGACATATTCTTTTACCACAGATGTGAAGGGACCTATTAATCCACCATCTATTAAAGAAACTGGTACATTCAGTGCAGAAGTGCTATCATCCTCTTCTTCAGATAGTATATCAAAAATTGATGCAAACAATAAAGTTACAGTTTTAACTAAATTCCCTGCGAATATCCTAAAATACTCACTTGCTTAAAACACCACAGAGCTGAACTAATCAGCGATATATACCATTAAATTTACTCCCACTAATAGACTCTCAACCAATAGTGTGATCAAGCTAAAGTGGCCTTCATAAGTTACAATTACAGCAAAGGTTGCAACTATCATTTCTACAACTAGAACTTATAATAACATTGGAGTAGTTGACTTGAATTCTAGATCTATTACCTTTTCTGGAGTTGTGCCAAGTACCACTTCAAACGAAGTAACTATAGAGCTTAGTCCAGTAACAAATCCAAAAACATCACTAAATTTGGCTGGATTTTTAATTAACACATATGATGATACTAGTTAGAGTGTCTAGCTTGATGTGCTCAATGATTACATTTTGATTCCCTAATTTGCATGCAATTACCCATGCAAAACATGCCCTAAGGATGCTAAGTCTGACTGCTATTCTTGCTGGGATGATGGATCTCTTACATATCTCTATCGATTTACCACTCCCGGATAATGCTTAAATCAATGCCCCAGTACATTCACAACTAATGGAGATAAAAAACTCAAATAGTGTGTTAAATGTGACTCATCTTGCAACAATTGCAAAGATGCTGGAGTTGTTGATGATAAATTTAAATGTATAACTTGTGCCTCTGGATATAATTTATAAGATAGTGATGGTAGATGCTATAAGGATGTTTGTCCAGATGGATATTACAAATCAAATGATAAAACCTGTTCTAAATGTTTGTCATCCTGCAAAACTTGTGACTCTACTGGAGTTAAATGCACTAGTTGCTTTACTAATTCAATTCTACCCTTTCTAAATGATGGAGTGTGCGATAGTTCCTGCACACCCTTAGTGCAAGTACTCGAGGGCTTCGAGTGTGTTTCATGCAGAGCTCCATGCCTACTTTGTAATGGAACTAAAACTACTTGTGTAACATGCGATATCACTAGTGCTTTCCCATACTTTTACAGCTATGGCTGCTATTCAGGTTGTCCAGAGGGAACTACAGCTGATGATGCAACTAAGTTTTGTAAGGGGTGTAAAGCAGGTTGCGCTAAATGTGATCTCTTTGACCAGGCTTTATGCCTTGAATGTGATGCAAAGCTATACTTAGTTGGCGGAAGGTGTGCTGACACCTGTCCAGATGGATTTAGGCTCAATTTCTATGCTACCGAATGCATCAGAGTTATTGATAAAGAGGAGATTTGGTTTCCATTCACAATAGCCTTTTGCATAATGATGCTACTGGGTGTTGCTTCCTATGTATTTGATAAAAAGAGTTTTATAGTGCCAATCATGATTGCTCTTTGTGGACCGATTGAGTTTCTCTCATATCTGATTGCTCTTTACCTTACTTTTGATTACTCTACTGTAATCTTTGCTTTGATTAGCGGAATCGGATGTGCCATATATATCATCATAAACTTCTGCTTTACCTTTTATATCGAACTAGACTTGATCAAAAAAGATAAAAATTTCCTGAGATGGAGAAAGAATCATAAAATCACCTTTTACATAATTCTTGGATGTTCAACAATATTTTCCTTTAAATTGATGAGACTTATTTATTCTCAAATTTTTGGCAATGACACTTTGAAAGCATCATTTAGCAATCCAGACAAGTTCAAATTTACTGTAATAATCTTCACTTGTATGCATTTCCTTTCAAACATCGCTATGCTTTTCTATGGAATAAGTGGCTTAATATATTACAAATGGGTTGATTAACTTTACATCGGCATGATTGATGTGATTTTCACTTCAGTGGTGATGATCATTCTTGAGATAATAGAACTTATTAACTTAAAAGTTTACTTGAAAGACCAAATGAAATATCACGAAGTCAAGTCTGACTCAGTGATGAATGCCTCTGAAATGGACGATACTACTTTTGACAATAGACTGAGACAAGATATGCTCAAAACAATAATGAATAAAGTTAAAGGCAATCAGGACATGTTCCTCAACAATAGACTTGATGATCTATTTGACAAGTTTGGCCATAGAAAGTGTAACTCAGCTTAATTTGAGAGATTCAGAGAGTAGGATCCAAGAATGACAAAATCATTACCCTCCAGTCCAAACTCTGATGGCCAATTTGATAAAGACGCAATGATGTTAGAGAGATAGGATAATGTTTACGCAGAATCATAACCACCAAATCCACTAGGTAATCAAGGCAAGATCTTCTTAGATGCTGATACTCAAGTCAAATCAAGCGATATGGATAAAATATTAGCGAGAAAGGGAGGTGAGTTGATGAATTTTGAAGATTCTGAGTCAAATAGAAGAAAAGATAAGAAGAGTAGAAGAAGAGGCAGAAAAAATCAGTACTATACCTAGATAGATGCTGAAGATGATGAAGAAGTCATGAATAACAATGATGTATTTGATGATGATGATCTGGATATTATAAAGGAGGAAGATGAATAAGAAGAGGCCGCTTTGAAATTAGAAAAATAGAAGCTTAAAGAAGAGAATGAAAGATTACGAAGAGAGGCTGAGGAGCTTGAACAATAAAAAATCATAAAGGAATAAGAAGAAAGAGCTTAACGAGAGAAAGAAGAGTAAGAGAGATTGGAACTAGAAAGACTCCTTGAAGAATAAAGAATAAGAGAAGATTAGGAAAGAATGCACAAACAGGAAGAGGAAAGATTGATAAAAGAATAGGAAGATGAACTCGAAAGAAATAAACTAGAAGAGCAGAAGTTATTTGAGGTAGAAGATGTTGGCACAGGGGAATAAGCTATCCTGTCCAATAGATAAAACCTAGCTAATTTAATTCCTGACTTAATAATTCATGAAGCACTGGATGAGACTATATCAGAGTCAGATAAAGCTGGTCTCAATAAAAATGTTTTGATTGAGGATTCTCTAAATGACTTTGGCAAACATTTGTTGAATAATGAAGGAGAAGTATAGGCTCCTCCAAATGCTTAAAACAGAAACTTCAATGAGAATGACATTCTTGGTGAATTTGACAGAGATGAAAAAGGTAATGTCATAGTTTTATAAGATGAAAATGGGGACTATGTTGATAAGAAAGGGAGGAGAGTCAATGAGAGAGGATATTTGATTTAAGAAGAGACTGGTGATATTATTGAAAACTAGAACCTTAAAAAAATGTTTGATAAAAATGAAATGGATGAAAGGGGCGAGATTCCAGCTCCATTCTGTGTAGAAAAATACAACTTCAATCCATTCAATATGAAGGGCAATCTTGATTATGATAAATAGGGCAGACCTGTTGTATAATAAAATAAGAATAAGGAGATTGTTGATAAGAATGGCAAGAAGATTAACAAGAATGGATGGCTTGTCGATTCTAAGGGAAATATTGTGGATATGTTTGGAAGGAAAAAATTTGATAAGAAACAATTAGCAAACGATGAACTTCCAAAACTGTTTAACTATAACGGCAGAAGATTTGACATAAATGATGTCTGCGGTGTATTTGATAAAGATGCTAATGGGGCTTTGCTAACTCGAAGAAATAAGCAAGGATAGCTAATAGATAATTTGGGAAGACTTATAAATGAGAAAGGTTATCTGGTTGATCAAAATGAAAACATTATTAATAAAGAGGGCAAGAAAATATTTGATAAAAAGCATTTGAAGAACGGTGATTTCCCTAAAATTTTCCCCTTCACTAAGTTTAAATTAAAGAATATAACTGGTAACTTTGAGATGGATCCTCTAGGTAATCCAATACTAGATAAGAGGAATGGAGAGTATTTTGATAGAGATGGCAAAAAGGTTAATCAAAGAGGATATTACATAAATTAAAATGGTGATGTCATTGATAAGTATGGAAAAATAATGTTTGACAAAGAGATTCTTGATGATGAAGGAGAAATACCGAAAGTATTCAGAACAGGGCTACTTAAGTCAGACACAGCTTCAAGTTTATCTAGATTAATGAGTGAGATTGAAAGAAACTAACCTTTCGAAGGAGACAGCGACTAATAGAGAATCTAAAAAGAAATGCAAAAGTATAAGAAGAGCGACAATGAATAGCACACAGGCAGGAGAGGTAGTGCTGGTACTTCACTAGATAGCATGATGGGTGATACTCCGAGTAACTATAATGTTGCTAATTAAAGGTTTGAATAGCAATAAAAACTTAGAGAAGCAATAAGAAAGCAAAAGAACCAACCACAAATTGTGGAAGAAAATGACAGCTAGTATGACATGGATGGAACTGAGTCAAACATGAAGAGACAGAGAATGAGAAGAAAGAAGAAGGTTGTTTATAAAGACCCATCTGAGAAAGATTTATAGATGGCCAAAGCTTACGGAGGAGTAGCAAGAGGACCTTAGAAGAGGTCTACTGGCAAGCATTCAAATAGAATGATGACAGCTGACTTCTCCTAATATGAGGGAAATAGAAATCTCTAAAAGCTTGCAGGGTCTATTTCAGGTTATCAAAAAGATAATAATGCAAGGTCAAGAGACAGGTTGGAGGAAATGAAATAGCAGTTTATAGGTACAGGCCCTTAAAATATTTCAATCTTAAATGAAACTAATGACCCATCAATTATGGCTGTTCCAGAACATCACATTAGAGAACAAAGATTGAAGCAGAGAAAGATGAATGAATTGAAGAAGAAAAATAAATTAGCATAGAAAAAGAAACCTGGTTTATCAGGTGATCCAGACTTTGAAAAGATGTTCGGTAAAGACATTGATGAATTCCTAGAAGATTCCGACTGGGATATCGAATCATTTGGCAAAATGTCAAATTTATCTAAAGGCACTTCAAAGAGTGCTTGGGGAGATGGAAGGATTAGAGGATTAGAGAGCATTTATCTGCAAAGAATTGAGACGTCAATGAAGAAAGGTGGCAGAGCAAAGAAGACTTAGCTGAAGCCAAATTTCAGAGTAATGCAAGATAGATTCATGGATGAATCAGAGTTGATGCAGGACAATATACCCAGAATTGATCGATCTAGTGGTGTTTCATAAACTAGGAACAGAGGGTTAAATCAAAGATTTATGGATAGTGCTAACACTACTGCAATGGCAAAGAATTTAGGCGAAAGTAATATCTTTACAAAAATAAAAAAGCCATCTAATAACACTTAATACAGAGAGGGCAGAGAGTTTACCACTAATAGATTTAATATTTGATACAATACATATATCTTAAAGAAATATCATAATTGCTATTTATATTTATAAAGAGATTCATTGTTTTAGTTTTATGAATAATATATCCCTAGGGGTTTTGGGGTTTTGGGGTTTTGGGG